AAAAGTTTTTATTTTGCCACATATGCATTACTCATTGGACAAACTTTGTGTTTTTGCTTCCGGTTCTGGCCCCCTATTGATAAATATGTTTGATTTCCTGTCTAAGGTCGTAGGTAATTTCATGATTACTGGCCAGTTATGATCCTAACTTCTAGGAGCGTGTTCGAGTCATGACAGCATGAAACACCGCTTGACCAAAAACACTACTCTTCCCATACTTTTGCAAACCTGCAAATATACTGGAAGTTCTCAAAGACTAAATCTTGAGCTAACTGACCAAAATCTAGGCAAAGACTCCTTTGAAAAACAAACTCCCAACCTGTTTCAAACGCAACCATAACACTCAAACAACCTAATTCGACAAGGAATAAGATGGATAAGGATATAAACAACCAGATAAAACAGGGAATCCGTATCCAAAACAATAAACGGATTGGGTCTAAACCAGAATCATTATAAATTAATTATAGACATGACTAACATTATCATCATATTGAGTACTTAATAATTAAAGTTGCCAATTATTTGCAAGTTAATACAAATATTGACGAGTTAATAAAGAAATTTGTTTTGGCATCTATTGGAAAAAAATTAGAAAGAGTGGAAGGCTAGAGTTAAAAAAATGGGGTATATGCCATTCGACAATGATGTTGACAGGTTAACTCATTGTCCCGAAAGAGTACATGAGCATCAATGGCAAAGCTTGGTCTATTATTAGGCACTCGGAAGGCACAGGTATCATTTAATGATTTTTTGGATGCTGTTGTTTCTAGAGTAATTGGTGGCTGCTGCTGTCAAAATGAACCACGCTAATTGGATTCTTTAAGTGCTATTCATTCATTATATTTGAAAGTACTAATGAAGTTTTGAACTTATGGACTCTTTAAGTGCTTCACTAAATACACCCATTCACTTGTTAAGAAATGAGTCAAGGATTTTGAGTTATTTCACTCTGCACAAAATGGGGTTTAATGCTCTCATTTTAAGATATGCTAGTGCAGCTTATGGTAGCTCTGTTCTTAGTTAGATCACTCTGTTCTTGAGTTGTTTATTGAATTCTATTGTAATCTCATAAGATGAGTTTGTTAATTAATAAATTATCTTGTCTTTGTGTTCATATGTAATAGGAAAAAAAAGTACGAAAAACAAAGAAATTCAGAAGAAGAAGAGGACATTAATAAATCACATAATCGATAGAAAACCATTCTCAGTTGTTCGAGTAAAGGTATATGGTTTCTGTATATTTTAAATTGAAATTGTATATTTTGATTTTGTTACTTAATTTTAATTGTAATTGTAGGAAACAAATAAGAAGAATGGAGTCCCTATAACTCGCTTAGAGATATGGAGGCTGGGTACTCGAAGGATAACAAACCAATTACTGATAGAGTTGCCGAGATCATGGTATGTAGCTTGGTTGCTTCTCTCTCTCTCTCTCTCTCTCTCTCTCTCTCTCTCTCTCTCGCACACACACACATAGAGTTAGGGCTCATCATCATATACTTTGCAGCACCATCATTATAGACTCTGCAACACTATCAATCTAGTTAAACTATAGTGAAAAAGACAGACCACTGAGCTATATTACCCATTGGGCTTAAGAAAAAAAAAGGAATGCTTGGGCTTTAGCGGTTGTGGCTACAACTGGTGTTGCAGTTGTGTTTGCTGCTAGTGCTTCAACTGTGGCTGCAGTTGTGATTGTTGTGTTTTCATGACACTTGGACACATACTTGGATACAATGACTTAATACTCTTATCAGTTCTGTTAATATAAATTTTATTGGTGGCTGATTAACTAATTAACAATTGGAAACGCAAATGAAGGAGCTCGGGATGCAATCCAATGCTACAGATAAAGAGATTATCACACAGCTTCTAGAGCCTGAGCGACCTAGTCGTGTTCGAACATATGGATTGGGTCCTTCTCCGACAGATGTCTTTGGAGGTGGATATAGGCAACCACAATAACAAACTTGTCTCATCCAAATGCAAGTCCAAGAGCAACTTAACCAATATAAAGCACAAATTGAGATGCAAATGAAAGAGATAATAAATGCTACGCTTAACCAATAGAAAGTACAAACGAAAATACAAGACACAATCCAAGCTCAACAAGCACAAATAGAGTAGCTAGAGTCTCAAACAAGCCATGGGTGGGCATGTTGCACCAGTTGCTACACATGTGCATTCACAACAACAATTCCATGCATACACCTCATCGTTTAATTGCCATCGTTCGTCCCAGGAAGTGAGTAAAAAGTTAATTATGAAATTTTCAAAATGACATTTTATTCATGTTCTTTGTTCTTGTCAAATGCAGGTTCAAATGTCAAACAAAGGAAAGAAGAAAAAGAAGTAGATAGGACAAACTCAATGAAAAAAGGCCTCTTTTTTGTTGTAAGTCTGATTATCTTTCTACTTGACTATTTATTTATTGATATTGATACTAATACATCACTACTAAAAAAAACACTTTTTGCGACCGCTATAAACCGTCGCAAATAATAAAAAAAAAGTCGCAAAAAATTCTAGAGCAGTTAAATCAAACAGATTTTCCTACGGTGAACAGATAGAAATTCAAAACCACATATATTCATATAAATGACACTCAAAATCATATCAAACACATAATCACAATCACAATTAAGATTAATTAGCATAATATGGACCAGGGTTATCACAGTCTTCCCCACTTTAAGAAGTTTGGTTCTCCAAACTTATTTTACTTTCGTCGGAAAACAAATGTGGATAGCGTAGTCGCATTTCATCCTTTTTTTCCCATGTAGCGTCCGTCCCATAGTGTTCTTTCTATTCTACTTTCACCATCGGGATGGACTTGCTTCTTAACTGTTTCACTTGCCGGTCAATGATTCGCTCCGGCCATTCCGTGTATTCCATATTTTCATCGAGGGCTGTCCGGTGGTGATCAATCACATGAAACGGATCCCGAAGATAACCTCTTAACATTGATACATGAAATACATTATGGATTTGCTAGAATCCTAGTGGCAAAGCAACTCGATAAGCAACTGGACCATGCCTTTCCAGAATTTGGAACGGCCCAATGTAACGGGGCCACAATTTACCTTTCTTTTCAAATCTTACTTGGCCTTTCATCGGCATCACATAAATAAACACATGATCACCGACCTCATATTCAAGAGGTCTTCTTCGAACATCCACATAATTCTTTTGTCGACTCCGTACTGTCTTGAGCCTTTGCTGAATAATTCTGACTTTCTCAGAAGTGTCTTGCACAATTTCGAGCCCAAGCAAGGCCTTATCCCTGGGGGCGGTCAAATCCTGGGGCAAGGTCGAGTATGTGGGTAAGTCTAAGATATTGTCCATGGGTGTAGGCACGGCTCTGCCTCCACAATAAGTATGCTACATCAGTAGGATCAGCCTGTACATATATTGACCAACCCATCAATTAGGCAATGCCTGAGTGTAATCGCCTAACTATATCTTTTGAGTCTCCCCATCATTTCGATGAGACGGAGGCGTGGTGCTCTACTAAGATTTCCTTCAAACTTATAGCCCCGAACTCCTCCCAAAATGCTTCATTAAGGATAACCTCGAGCATTCTTACATCACCAGAGTTAGTCAAAGTACAAACGTGATATTTTACATAAAAAGACTAACGTCGCAGGTAAATATTTATTATTATTATTTTTTTTTTTATTATATTTTTTTAAAACCACTTCTCTGATACCACCTTTGTCACAACCCAACCCCAAGGCTTAGGGATGGAATCGTAATTTACTAATTCTAATTGCACAAATTAAGGGGCGCAAGTGGAAACGAAATAAAAGTAAGAAAATAATTAAATAGATAATTCGCTTCATTAAGTACCCTTCATTAATTACCCCTCCTAGGGAAATAAAAAAGAAATACATCCATTGGGCTTTTATTATTTTATTATGCGGTGACAAAAAGTTAGGAAAAAAAAAATGAAAGAAAAAAAAATGTAACAGGTTGGCATCCAATTTCCATGCGGGTCGCACAATACGAGGTTACAGTTCTTCTTTACATCTCATCACTTAAAAGGGGTAACAACTATAAGCACACAACAGAGTGGGAAATATTATGCCAAGAGTATAGGGAATACAAAATAACCATGGATAGCTATTTAAGATAAAACTTTAACATAACTTAATTTGAATAAACAAATTATTTAATTGACAGAAGCTAAAATATAGAAATTATGTAAACAAATAACCATAACCATGATATAGAACAAAACAAAACAAAGGTCACATGAGTAACAATCATAATAGAAGTCAATGAATCCATGACAAATAGAGAGCCACAAAGTAACTAAATAGAAGCCAATGGTTATGTCCCCCAAGGCATGGGACTTCCGTGGTGGTACTTACAAAACATAATTGTTTATAAAATCATTGTCAAATAATTTCTAAAATTTAAACAAACATATTCATGGGTTTCATTTTAGACAAACAGAGTTCAGAAAATAATCAACGTAATTGAAATATTAATATAATTTATAAAACATAAATTGTGTAAAATAAATTATGATAACTCAAAACACACGTAAAATATATTATGGTGACTCAAGGTATAATACAACTCACCTTAATGTTAATCCCTCACCATTTCTTCTTCATTCACGGAAATTTCCCCTTTTTATGGACGGACTGCATCTCCTACTGCTCCTTATATTTATCGAAAACATCTTTTCAGGCATCATTTCCTTTCCTTCTAAGCAACCATGTGGTATCACCACGTGGCCCCCTCTTTCGCTGCATGCTTATCCATAAGGATAAGCTTTTGACTCGTTTTTTATTTTTTTGTTTTGTTCTGTTTTTGTTTTTGTTTTTTTTCTTTTATTTTCTTTTCTTTTCGTTTTGTTTTGTTACATTATTTTCAAATGTATGAGTGCATTGGTATCTCAATTATTAAAGGGGGTGGCAGTGATATTGCAAGAAAACAGAGGGGTATGAGTGTAATTCGCCCTTAATTAATTGATAATATCTTTGTCGGTAAAGAAATATGGGAACCTCATATCTTTTTTGGGTGAAGCTGAATAGAACCTCATATCTTTTTGGGTGTATAAATATCGGAACCTCGTATCTTTGTTTGGGTGAAGGTGAATAGAACCTCATTATAAGAAATGGAGAATTTGACGAACAAAGCTCTTGAAGCTCCTCGAGATTTTGAAAACTTCTCTGCACTCAATTGTATCGATCTTTCAAGCCCAGACATTCTTAACTCTGTTTCTTTACTCAAACAGGTACACACACACACTCTCTCTCTCTCTCTCTCTCTCTCTCGGTTTTTTTGATTGATTGATTATAGTGTTTGTATACAATTCAATTGGTTAATTTGCGAAGAGATACAACAGTTCATCAAATTTGTTGTCAACTTTATATTAAACATGATTGTGGCATAAGCATCAAGGAAATGTGATTTACCCACTCTTCGATTCTAAGAATCTAAAGGCTAACAATTTGCAAGAATTACTTGCTAGTTAAATTTAGTAAAAATTACAAATACAACCCCCTAAAATTTACTTAAAATACGAATTACCCACTATGGTTCTAGAAATTGCATCATGCCCCCTTAAAATTTTTAATCGCGTAATAAATGACTCATTTTATTAACAATCATTAAGTCAATTAACAGTTTTTAATGATGTTATAAATATATTTCAAGTAATAGTTTTAGTAATTTTATTATTGTGTGGGAGGGTTATTAGAAATTTCTATATTGTATGGGAGGGTTATTAGGAATTTCTTAAACCACAAGGGACAATTCATCTTTTAAGAAAATCTCAATGGTGCATTTATAATTTACTCTTAAATTTACATTCCTTTATTTGGTCCTTTGTTGCAACTTTAATATATCACCCCTCTTGTTCTATTTCTTTTCATTTTAAAATCACTGTTCACATTCACAGTTCAGTGTTTACAGTGCTTGAATTCGTTATTTAAGTAGTGGTATGTCGTATGAGTTCTAGTAATATTATAGTTGTAATTGGAGTTAACATTCTTATGAGGCTGCATTTGATACATTTCTCAGTTTCCGATGATGATGAAATAGACTACTCCATCAAACCAGAATTCTATGATCCAAATCTTGATGACAAAGATGAATTATGGGTTCAAAAGCAAAGGAAAGGTCATTATTCTGATGCTGTGCTTAGCTGCCCAGCTTGCTTCACTACGTTATGTCTTGAGTGTCAAAGGTATGTAATTGTATCTATAAGTTGGTATAATTTTGGGTATTTTATATTTGCTGTCAAGGAGTTGTTTCATGATGTGAGTTTTGTTTTCTGTGATTATAGTTGTGCGGCGAGCTGTAGAATTAGGAGAGATGCTATAGAATTAGGAGTTCTGAGTTAGGTAGGGCTAAGACAATAGGAGAGGGAGATTGAGTAGGCTGCTGAGAATAGGCTTAAGAGTTAGCTGGATGAAATGGAAAAGTAATTTGAGTATTTTTGCGATCGTAGATTTCTTGCTACATTGAAGTAAAAATTCTATATGGAACTATAAGGATAGCTGTGTTGTTTTGTGTTTTGGTCAGGATAAGATTAGGCAGTGGAACTCTCTCTCTCCTGATTGCATGACTGCTTTAGAAAGCACCCTATGATTTTGAAAACTTCAAATGTGTTATGCTTTATGCGATACATAGATTCATTTAGCCCATTCGAGGAAAGTTAATACCTACCTATCTCTTCTTTCCATGGTTTGTGCATTTTGACTAGGGGTGAAGGTTTGTAAGATGTGTTTTTTTAGAGAAAAATTTACTCTCATTTTTAATGTTTAGCAACTATCAGTAAATGTTTTTTAATGGAAAAAACATGACACCAAATTCAAAACAAAGATAGAGATTAAAATATCCTTTTTTGAATTCAACAATTTGATCACAAAAGGAGGATGGGGATAAGTCCTTCAACCTTTGTAAAAACTTCTATAGATGGAGTGCCTTTGTTTTGAAGAAAGAGGACTTTCATCAAAGCTTGATCATCATTTACACCACCACGAACCTTTTGTTAGATTACTGCGCAATCTATTGTTTTGCATTTTGAATCCTTGTACAAGGTTTTGGAATTTGACGCTTCATGAATTAAGTGGTGGAATTTGTGACCGACTGTATGGGTCTTGTAGGCATGAAAAATACGTGACCCAGTACCGGGCAGTTTTTGTTTCCAACTGCAAGATCAAGACTGATGAAGTGTCGCCGGTAGGTCTGAAACGAAAACGGGGCAAAAGGAGGATTGAATATGGAGACGGTGGTGAAACATTTAAGCCAGTATGCTGCTCAGTTTGTTCAACTGAGGTTGGAGTAATCGATGAAGAGGAAGTCTATCATTTCTTCAATGCTCTTCCAAGTGAATGTTGATTTCTTAGGTTTAACAAAATTTGAAAATTTGAAGATGGTTCAAAATGCAATTACAACAAGGGCCTGTCATTCATTCAGGCAAGTCTCCTACCTAG